GCCCCCGCCCCATGGGTCTCTGGGTGTTTCTGACCCCAGGCCTCTCCCTTTAGAAAGAGAACCCTCGGGGTCCACGGAAGAGCCCCATCCTGCTCCTTCCCTGGGATCGATTTCCACCGACACGTTTCTTGAAGGTTTCTGGCCTCCCCTCGCACATCTCCCCTGTTGCTTCGAGCCTCTGACCGACTCAGATGGTCTTTGCCACGTCTCAGCCCCCCTTGGAGCCTCCCCTTGGAGCCCTCCTGTTACCTGGTGCGGCGGCGCTGGGCTGGGCTGCCCCCCGAGTCAGTGGCGAGCAGAAGGCGGGCGGTGGGATGTGGGGGGCAGAGGCGCAGGGACCGCAGCAGCTCCTGCTCTGGCACGAAAGGACGGAGGGGGCCCCGTTCTGGTGAGTTTCCCAGGCTGCTGGAGCGGGGAGGTGGGTGGGCTGGAGGCGTGGTGCGGCGTGGGGCCCTGTTTAGGGGCCACGGAGGCTCCACGGCTACCTTCAGAACTGGGTGGTGGTGGTGGTGAAGAGCCAGACGAAAAAACGAGGGAAGACAGAGATAAATGTCATGAACATGAAATTAGGACAAAGAGAAAGCAGAGCCTTTATGGGGCACAGATCCTCCCTGGGGGCCCCCAAGCAGTCCCAGCCCCAGCCCCTGGCTTACATTCTCGGTCACTCGAGGAATATGGTTTAATGTCACCCTCTGCTCTCTTGGGCGGCAGCTTCCTTGCTGGGGCTGGCGGCAGAGGGAATGCAGGGACCGTGAGCACCGGGGGACATGGCCTGAACCCCTCCTTCCTGCCATGACCCCCGCCCCAACCCCAAGTCCCTGCTCCCCGATACCCAGCTGCTCCTGGGGAAGGAGATGCGTTTGGTGCCATCGCAGAATCAGCTCGGTGGTGGTGTCAGCCCACCAAAAGGGATTGTAAAGAGGATGGGGTGCTGGAGTACTTTTGAGGAGAGCCGGAGGGAGGAGGCCAGAAAGTTGAGGGAGAAAGATCAAAGGGGAGACCGGGGAACCTGGGAGATGCAGGAGAAGGGCAGCCGAAAGAAAGTGTGCTCTTACTGTCTGTGGGTGCTGCCAGGCCCCCCTGGGATTCTGAGGCTGTGCAATGGTGCCAGCTGGGCCCACCAGGACCCTGGGTCCCTCTAGATAAGACGGACAAAGCCCTTGGTTAATCAGGGATTGCTTTGCACAGGTTGGGGGCGGCCAGAGGGGTGTGGCAGAACCTCTCCTTGCTGTGCAGAGATGGGAACAGCTTCCAATTCAGTGTTTACAAAGACAAGGCCGACTATGGACGCCTGAAAGGCATTAACAGAATAAACGGGGAGGCAATGTACTGCACGAAGCAGCCTCCGCTTCTCACCTGCTCCCACCCTGCCCTCTCAAGAGGCGTTGCTTCCTCTGTGGCATGGAGTGGCCTCACAGCTAATTCACTTCAGCTCTGTCACCATGACCCTCCCCATGGGGGCTCGAGGTCGGTGCTGGCATCTGCACCACCCTTGTTAGCACTCCGAGCAAGAGCCAGAAGGGAGAAGCCCAAGAAACCAGAGCAAGCTGGGCGAGACAGCGGCTCTCAGCACATTGAATAATGACATTCAATAATGCCGGCAACTGCAAACAGGTACCTGTGCGTGGTGGTCAGTCCCTGTTCTGGTCATGAGGAAAGGGGAGAGCTGAGCCACAGAGGGAGGCAGCTCTCAGGAAAGGGGCACCTCTGAGCGAGCATGCGCTCCCCAGCCAGCAGAGGGCTGTGGGATGTCCACCTGTGGGCTGCAGTGAGGGCAGGGAGGAGGAGGGCTCAGCTGGGCAGGGAGTGAATCCGTGTGTCTGAGTCAGAGGGGAACCTGGGAAGCATGTGGGCAACTTGTACTGTTGGTGCCCCCGTCGAGGTTATGATTTGATTAGAAATGTTCTAAAATCTTGATGAATTGTCTTCCAAAATGCATGCCTAAACTCTGGCCCCTTCAGGCTACTAGGCCCGTCGCCTGTTCGATGTCTGCAAACAGAAAAGCTGTCCGCACTTGCCCGTCCCCTAGGGGCTCGGGGTACCCTACAGAGTTGACAAGCGCTGACTCTGGACTGTGGATGGGCCTGAAGCAGCGGGAAGCTCCACAGAGAAGCAGTTACCAAAGAGAATCCCTGGAACTTGCTTAGTCAAAAATCTGGCCAAGTCTAAAAGGCGCTGAGCTGCCAGGAGGGCAAAGATAATGAGGTCAGGATGCTGGAGGCTGGGTTGCTTTACAAGTCTCCGACGTGCTGCCCAGAGAGCGCTGCACCCCCTCACCCCCATGCCTCCAGAGCAACCAGCCACCGCTGCACTGCTATTGACGCCCCCGTTCAGTGCAGCTTTACCAGCGGGCGTGGGATCCAGCGCAGCAGCACGAGCTTGTCGAGCTGCCCTCAGGGAGTGAGCAGGGGGCCCTGTGAGGAAGGAAGTGGTGGGGCCCCTCAGTGAGGGGTCAGTGTGACCAAGAGGTCACCTTTGTCCTTCCTACCCCTCACCCCAACGACTTGACCAACGAGAGAGACAACTTACGATGCTGATGCGCAAAGAAGCCTTCAAAGATCACAAAGTTGTTCACCTAGAAGAGGACACCGGTGACAACAGAAAAGGTTATTCATTTAGCCACGCAGCAGAAACAGTGAACCCTCGCCACTTCGCGCTTCGACTTCCGCGGCTTCACTCTATCGCGGTTTTTGCGTAACAGCGCATGCTCTGTCATTACTGCCACTGATTGGCTCATACTGTACACGCTTCTGTCTGCATCGCTACGTATCGGAGCTACGTATCAGATGCATTTTTGCTTTTGTACAGTGTACTGTAATTGTTTGCGATTTTTTTTTTTTTTTGCGATTTTTAAGAAATTTTATCTAAGCCCTATGATGGCTCCTAAACGAGCTGCTTCTTCTAAGCCTTCTGACAATAAAAATAAGCGCCAGAGGAAGATGCTCACCATCCAGGAAAAGGTAAAACTTTTGGATATGATCAAAGATGGCAAGAAAATCGTGGAGGTTGCACGCCATTGATTACAGTATTTGTAAGAACTATGTATAATAATACTGTATGTGAAATATGTAATACTGTAAACTAGATGCCATAAATAATATAATAAATAATAAATGATAATTGTAACGTCCAAAATGTTTTACTGTATTTTCCCTTTTTCGTTTAATAAATTCGGTAATACGAGTGTAATGGTGACTAAAGGGTGTTTTTTCATGTCCTCTATGCTCTAACTACGGAAATATTTGATTTACAAATAAGGAATCCTACTTCGCGGAATTTCATTTATCATGGTAGGGTCTAGAACCGATTAACCGCGATAAACGAGGGTTCACTGTATTTGGATACAAGCCCTGTGCTAAAAACAAAATAACGCAAAGCACAGAAGACAATTTTCCCGTCTTCGGTCGCCAACTATCAAAAACTCAAACCTCGAACTACCTAATATGATGAACATCATTCTGCGGCGGGGAACATCCGGACGGTAGGCTGTCCAAGGCCCACAGAATCAAAATCAAGACCAGCTGACATCACACAGCTCATGAAAGAGAAGCCGTCCCAGCCACCACGCCAGGGCTGAGTTAATGAAATGTGTGGCCACAGAAGGCAGGCTCATTTTCAAGGCGGTGATGCTGTATGGCCTGTGAATGATATCCTAAATACCCACATGGCAGAAAAGGGTCTCCACTCTTGACATAAGTCATGCCCCTGAATTGCACATGTGGAGATTCTTGAAATACTAAACATGTATTAACTACATATTTCCCTCCATACATATAAGCCCAGACCCTGACAAGCTGATCCTGAAGTTCATATGTAATTGAAAGGAACCCTAATCATCTACAAAAAGAAGTTCATTTCCCAGTTTCCAAACTTACCCAAAGCTGTAGTCACCAGTCAGGTGGTACTGGCTGAAGGGTAGACCTACAGATGAACAGAACTGACAGCCTAGAAGTAAACCCTCACATCTGTTGTCAATGGATTATTTTTTAAATCATTGTATTGGGGGTTGTGCAACTCTTACCACAATCCATCCATCCATTGTGTCAAGCACATTTGTTGCCATCATCATTCTCAAAACATTTGCTTTCTACTTGAGCCCTTGGTATCAGCTCCTCATTTCTTCCCCTTCCTCCCCGTTTCCTCTCCCTCATGAACTTGATAATGATTATTTTTTCATGTTTTACACTGTCTGATGTCTCCGTTCACTCACTCTTCTGTTGTCCATCCCCCAGGGAGGGGGTTATATGTACATCATTGTGATTGGTTCCCCATTTCTCCCCCACCTTCCTGGTATCGCTGATCTCATTATTGATCCTGAGGGGGTTATCTGTCCTGGATTCCCTGTGTTTCCTGTCAACTGATTGTCAACAAAGGTGCCAAGGCCATTCAGTAAGGAAAAAAGTCTTTTCAGTAAATGGGTCAACTGGATATCCACATGCAGAAGAATTAAGTTTGACCCTCTACCTCACATCATATACAAAAACCCCAAAACCAATAAATTAGACTTTATAAAAAATGTTCTACTTAGCTGAAAAAAATCTGGAACCATGAAGAAAACTCCTCTCTAGGACTGACCATGAAAGGAAACCTGTGGGTAGGCTGAAATGCTTACTAGGTGAACACCTGGATCCACTTGTTGAGTGGAAGTGGGAGAAGTGCAGCAATAAAGAGATGGGTTGGGTCTGGCCACTGACACCCATGGACTTGGTTCATAGGAACTAGAGGACGAGAGCAGGCTGACTGGTCTGAAGTTGATGACCTAGCCCAAGGGGCTAGAGTTGTTGAGAATCTGTGATGGGGGCATGGTCTAAGGCAAGCCAACCAATGGACACCTGGTGAGACTAAGTGAGGCAGCCCACATTGAGTTGACCAGAACCCGACCAGGTGAAAAGATTTTTGAGCCTGTGAACTGGTGCATGTTGCTGCAGATTTTATGGATGGCCTGTCCTGATTTGACTCTGCTATGGATGTGGATTTCACACGGTTCCAACTGGAATGAAGCTTCTTCACGTTGAAAAAGATGGTTGTCTCCTCACAGCGCTGGGTTGATATAAGTGAGCAATATACCAATTGGATACCCCAAATTAGGGGGATAAAGGCATGAAGTGGTTGGCTTACAAACTTTCATAGGTGGGGGAACATATTCATAGGATATAGGATCAAGGTGTTGGTGTTACGTAACTGCAATTGTTAGGCATACATAGGATATTTTTGTTTGGTTCACTTATAAAATGTCATGTTTAAATGAGGATAGCACATGTTGAATTGTATGCATTTTAGTTTTATCCTGTTAGGTATAGATATGATTTTACTATTGTTTGTTTGAAATTACATATGATTACAGTTATATGAAAGTGTCAAATTGACAAGGGGTGGTCTGTGGTAGTTATATAATCGTCAGTTTGAGAGGATTATGAGTGAAGGGGTGGAGTCTAGTCTGTCAATCAGATCATAGCCAATGAGGCTTCTGTGTGAACATGGCCTTCTCCTGAGAATTCTGGGAAATCTGGTACCTCCTCCTTGGAGGCGGGAGACACTTCTCTCTCTGCCACTCCCTGGGAGACACAGCAGCTGACAAGACACATGGACCCACCCTGATGCAGCCCTGGGTGCTAGAGAAGCCATGCAGAGACCCCTGCCAGCACTGAGATGTTTACACCGCCACTGGATCCAAAGACTTTGTACTCACTGGCCTGTGATCTTTCTGCATTCGGTGTCATGGCATGTGTTTCGTGAGTCTGAAGAGGATTTTATAGACTGGTATCAGACATATGGGCTAATATCAGACTTATGGACTTGATTTGGACTGGGCTCGGATGTTTTCTCAATGTTCAATTGCTCTTATACAAAAAATATTCTACTTCAAAGGGCATTATCAATAAAGACAAAAAGAGGACTCACTCACACAGAATGGGAAAAAAATTTGTAAATCACACATCTAATAAGGACTCGATATCTCAGATAAAAATCGCTTATAACAAAAAGTTACGCATTACAATTTAAAAGTGGCAAAGAACTGGAATACCTAGAAGATGTGCAAATGACCAGTAAGCCCATGAAAAACATTCTGTATCATTAGGTAATATAAGAACTAAAAATCCACAATAATGAACCTAAGACAGCCATTATGGGAAGAAAATGGGAAATAACTTGCTGAGGCTGGGAGAAAGGGGGAACGCATGCACTGCGGGCAGTAATATAAAACGGGGCAATGGCTGTGGAAAACAAGTTGGCAGTCCCGCAGCCAGGCCAGCTGCACACAGGATTCTACTTCTCAGTGTACAGTCAAAAGAACTGAAAACTTACGCGTCAGTAAACACCTGCACACAGGTGTTCATGGTGCCATTGCTCCTAATGGCCCCCAAATGGAAATGACAAACCATCCACCCACTGACCAATGGATAAACGAAATGTGCTCCTATATGCCAACGCATCCCTGCTGACTCACTATCCACCTGCGGTGGGTTTCTGAGACTGTAGCTGTTGACAGCAGTACAAAGCCCAGTCTCTCCCGCGGAGGTGATGGTGGTTTCGAACTGCTGACCAGGCAGACGGCAGCCCACTGGGTTAACCACTACACCACCAGAGCTCCCCTATTCATAGAGTACAGTTTTATCCACACATGGAACACACGCTACAGGGATGGGCCTTGAGAATATCACGCACGAGAAAGAAGTACAACAGCCAAGGTCACACTTATATGACTCCACTTATATAGCACTGGCAAGTCCATCGGCAGAGATCAGTGGCTGTCAGGGACTGAGGGGAAGGAGAGAGAATTAGGGATGGGTGCTTAGTGACCATGGGCTTTCTGCTAGGGGGATGAAAACGTTCTGGAATGAGTGACGGTAGCTGCGTAACGTTGTGAAGGTGCGAGAGAGAAAAAGCCCAAACAATGAGTTCTGTGCTTTACAATAAAATGCTGCGTCTGCGTTCTTTGAATTGCATTTCACAAACCAAACCCACGCACCCAGACTTTGCTTCCAGGTTCGCCCAGGAGCCCAAAGGAGAGAGTGCACAAAGCACCCAGCAAGATGAGGCGATCCGAACTGCCAAAACAAAGCCAGACCAAAGAGTAGACTGTTTACCAAACAACAAGGAAAACAAGGATGCGCCAGGGTTCCAATGAGGGAACCCACACCACACCAGGAGGACCGGGCGCCGCTCTGAGGACGGCCGGCCGCTGTTGAGTGGTCTCATGGCACGCTCACCTTCGACTTGCCCTCCCCACCTGTGCCTGCGGTCAGGATTTTAAAGATGAACGAACAGGGTTCAGCGATCCGGCTTGCTCGAAACTAACGAGCTTCATGAGGCAAAGCCGGGCTTGAAGTCCCTGATTTCTCATTCGGTGCGCAGTGTTTATGCTAACAATACGGTGTAGTCATTAGAGTAGGCTCGGGGATCAAACCTCAACTGTACAACTTAGGTGGACTTTGCCAAGCAACCAATTTGTAAAAATGCAAAATGGAGTTATAAATAATAGCACCAACCGATTCCAATGATCAGCATATAACTGTCCGCCCCCCCAGGAGACGAACAATAGAAACGTGGGTGAAGGGAGACAGCGGATGTTGTGAGATATAAAACTAATAATAATTTATAATTCATCAAGGATTCATGAGGGTGGGGGAGGGCGGGGGGAAAGGAGAATCTGATACCAGGGGCTCAAATAAAAAGAAAATGTTTTGAAAATGATGATGGCAACAAAAGTGTTTGATACAACGGATGTGCGGACTGTTGTAAGCGCCACCGATGAAATGATTTATTAAATAATAGCACCCATCTCAAAGAGATGTGCACCCATCACCTGAAATGATCCCTACAGATCTCGCTTGCAGCTCGGGAAACTGCGTAGCGCTGGCAAAACAGCAGTTACTTTCTTTGCTCCCCATGGAAATACTTATCTGTGAATAACCGTCAGTCCGCAGACGCAGTGCAGACCAGACACAGCCTCTGTAGCGCCAAGGGCACTTTACAAACACATCCACACAGGCAAGGGCCGGGGGGCTCACGGGCTAAGGACACCACCACCAAACGTGGCCTGGAGGTGGTCTCCACCCTCCTTGGAAGCCTCCAGAAATCTGAGGTCATGTCAAAGAAGAACCAGGCCAGGAATAAGCCAGGATGGCTTGGGCTGCGTCCGTATGGGCACCCTCCCTTTGGGCCAGCATTTCAGCTAACACGCTCTGGGACAAATCACGCAGTTGCCCTGGAGTTCTGTGCACCCTTCCAAACTATCGGTCTGGGATCGAGTTGACAATATCACCTTCAAAGTCAGGAACTTTGGAGAGCAATGACTTTCCGCTTGTGCGAGAGGCACGACTCAGACCAGGAGGTGAGAGTAGTGGCGCACCTGATGGTGGGGTCACCGTCACTTGGTTGCATGTGTGCAAACAGTGCGCTGGTGCGTGTTTTGCTGGGTAACGTCTCAAAAGTATTCCAAACAGCAGCCACGTGCACGTGCTCATTCTGGGGCTAAATGGGACCAATGATGAATTCACTCCTTTCCCAAGAGTGCGCACGAAACATCAGCTACTCTCTGTAGTCGGTACTGCTCGGGTCTTTCGTTATAACTGAGTAACACGCCTGATGGCTAACCCTGCACTCCACTCCGTCTCAATGGAGTGAAAGGCCTGGGACATTCGGAGCGGAGCCGGCCGAGTTCCTGCCCTGAACTCTGCTTTCTGTCTGTTAACCCACCCTCAGCCACAAGAAGCATGTGTGCCGTGTCCCGGAAGTACTGGCTGATTTAGTAGCCCCCTGCCTTTGCTCATGCTAACTCCACCTTGCCCCACCTGACAACCCTCATCTTCAAGTTTAAAGCTAAGTCAAACCTTTCTTTCCCGTCGCCCCTCCCCCCCCCCAGGTGTCACTCACCACCCTGTCCTGATACCACCTCTGTACTTCCACCCATCGAGCCAGCTGAGTTGTGCGTGCCCCGCTCCATAGCGAACCTGCCAACCGAATGCAATGCCTACCCACTTACAAGTACTTCAGCAATTCTCCCACTTGCTCTGCGTCTCCCTGTTTCTCTCTCTCCTGAACGCTGTTAGGACGTCCCTGGGGAAAGCGGCCACCCTCTTTTGATCCATTTCCACTTCAAACTCTTGCTCTCTTCCTCTGAATGCGCCGCCATCGCGGTGCGTATGACTCGTCAAACTGGACAGAGAGCTCCTTGGGGTTCCTGGGACCTGCCTGTCCCCGGGAGCAGCCAGCCTAATCTTTCTCCTTCGTAGCAGTGCGAGGCTTTGACCATTGGCCCGGAGGCCAGCAGCTTAGTACTCAGTCCCCAGCACCAACAGGTGATGGATTTCATTTAAAATAATTGCCTTTTTTTGCTGTCTCCAATTCCAAACTTCTTCATCTCCCAAATCCACTCGCTTCTCTCTCTCCTCTTTCCTTGGTGATCTCACTCTGTCTCTTTACTTTAAACACACCTACCATCCACAAACTCTCCAGCCTGCACACGTCTTCTCTGAACCCCAGGCAAGTACGCAACTGTCTACTCAATCTGAGTGTATCACAGACATCTGCAGCTTAACTTATTCTAAGTAGAATCCAAGTATTTCCTGCTGTAGTGGTTATGCACTGGGTGGTTAACCACAAGGTCAGCAGTTCAAAACCACTAGTAGAAAGACAGGGCTTTGGATGCACAATCGGGAGGAGAACACAACTGGACCAACAGTT